CGTGGCGGCAAGAGCTTGCTGACCTTGGGGACCCACTGCCTGCACGCTCCTGCCTGCCGGGACGCCGGTCCACGTTGGGGGCGTTGCGAGCCTCCCTGGCTGCGGGTAGCACCGCTCCTTTTCTGCAGGGGGGCATCCCGGATTTCCATCCCCCGGGTTACAGGTTAAAGCTGCCTCTCTCCTTGTGTCCCCAACCCTGGAGCCACACCTGACTGCTGGAATGCGGTGGATCTGCCCACCCCAGGGGCTCTGCCGAGGGATGGATCTTCTCCTGTTGGACGCTCTGCCAAGGGATGGACCTGCTGACCCCACCTGCTCTGCAAGGGATGATGCAAACGGATGGACCTGCCCACCCCGTGTGCCCGGCAAAGGGACGGATCTGCCCCCGCCACGTGCCCCGCGCAGGGGTCGGGACCACGGACGCCGCGCCCCGTACCCTGCACTGGAGCCCTCACCTCCCCACTACCCAAGTGACAACGGACGTGACCTCAGATCTGAGCCCACGGACTAACCCCGCGGGTGGACCCCACCACGGCCCTGCACTTGCCTTCTTGAGCTGTTTGAGGTTGCTGGAGCGGATGGCTGCCAGGAGCTGGTCCCGTGAGTTCTTCTCCTGGACCGGCAGCGCCCGGTCTCCCAACTTCCTCTGCGTGGCCGGCGAGAGCGAGTTCCTCAGGTTCTCGTTGATCAGCGGTGGGGCGAGCGGAGGAGGAGGTGGGGGTGGTGCAGCGGGCGCCCCCCCTTTTTTAGGAGAGCTTTTGGGGGAAGCCTTGGGGGATGGCTGCGGGGATGGCTTGGGGGACCCCTTCGGTAGGGCTCCGGGCTTGGGCACCTCCAGGAGGTCTTTCTTCTCCCCGCGCTCCTGCGCCAGTTTCTGCTCCTGGAGGCGTTTCTGCCTCTGTTTGTCCATGTTTCGGCTCAGCAGGTTGGTGACTGTCATGCGCGGTCCGGCCAGCTCAAAGTGGTAGCCCAGCTTCAGGAGGGTGGTGTTTTCCTTCAGCAGCTTGGCGATCTCCATCTCCGTCTTCCCCCCGCAGATGTGCCGCTGGTTGTGGAAACGCAGCTCCGTCAGCGTGTTGTTCTGCAGCAGCGCCCGGAAAATGGCCAAGATGCCCTTGCCCGTGATGTGGTTGGAGTCCAGGTTGATGCTCGTCAGCACCTTGTTGGACTTCAGCATGATGGCGATGGCGAAGGCCACGTGGTCGTCGGCGCGGGTGTTGGCCAAGGCGAACAGCTTGACCACGGTGTTGAACTCCAGGGCCTCGGTGAAGCGCACCAGGGTCTCGTTGTTGATGCAGTCCGAGTTGTTCACGTTCACTTCGGTGACCTCGGCGTCGTTGTTCTTCACCTTCTCGATGAGCTCATCGAAAATGCTGGAGGCTTCGTCATCCTTGGCCTGATCCGAGGAGCTGCCGGTGGTGGGCTTGGAGGGGCTGCTGTCGGCTGCCGCCTTGGCCTCTTGTTTCTCCTCCGCTGCCTTTTCGGCCTCTGGCTGGGATTTCTTCTCGTCTGCCTTTGATTTTTTCAAAGCGGAACTCTTCTCCTCTTCTTTTTTGTCTTTTTCTTTCTTATCTTCTCCTGTTGTGTCTTTTTCTGCCTGTTGCTTTGCTCCCAAACTCTTCTCTTCCTCCTTTTTGTCCTTCCCTGCGCCTTTCTTCAATGCTGAACCCTTTTCTTCTTCCTTTTTGTCCTTCCCTGCCTCCTTATTTGCTGCTGAGCTCTTCTCTTCTTCCTTTTTAGCCTTCCCTGCATCCTTCTTTAAAGCTGAGCCCTTCTCTTCCTCCTTTTTGTCCTTCCCTGTGTCCTTCTTTAAAGCCGAGCCTTTCTCTTCCTCCTTTTTGTCCTTCCCCATGTCCTTCTTTAAAGCTGAGCCCTTCTCTTCCTCCTTTTTGTCCTTCCCTGTGTCCTTCTTCAACAGTGAACCCTTCTCCTCCTCTTTTTTGTCTTTCCCCATCAGCTTTTTCTCCATGGCCTTGACTTTATCATTGATGGCCTTCTCCTCTTTGGTCTTGGTCTCAGCCTCAGCTTTAGCTTTTGGGTCTGTTTTCTGACCACTTTCTTCCTTTTTAGACTCTTTCCAAAAAAAACCCCACTTTTGTATCTCGTTTCCGGGACAGGTCTTTGGACCTTTCTTCCTCCTTTCCCTTTTCTTCTTCATTCTTCGCTCCCTTATTCTTCTCACTCCATCTGCTTTCCTAACAAGAGAAAAACACCACGGTGTTACAGAGACAGACGCCTCCCACCTCCAGACTCGCCACCCCAGTCTCATCGTCACCAACTCTGCACCTCTGTCACGCAGGAGCAACCACAGGGCCCCGTGGGGCAGCGCCGCAGCCGGGGAAGATGCACAGGAGCATGAGGAGAGTCCGGTCTCAGGAAGGTCTTAGACTGTGCCTATGAGGGATGAGCTGCCCTAAACCAGGCATTTAGGACAGAAACCTGGTCACAGCATCGCGCGGGGGCCCCAGGAGGCAACAGGGAGGTGCCATGGGGGAGCGCGAGGACAGCCAGCACCGGGCCTGTGCCGTGGCGGGGGACAGACATGCGGCCAGGACTCTTTAGGGAGGTAAGCGACCTGCTCCGAATCATGGTGGTTCAGCCCTGGACACGGGCCAGAGTCTCCTCCACCTCACCGGGGTGATCCACCACCGCCTGCTCACACGCTGCAGCCTGCACTGCCCTTTGGGAGAGGACAGGCCAACCCAGCCGAGGTCCTGGGTCCAGGGAAGGGTTCGGCCTCCGAGTGCCCCGAAGGTAGGCAGAGCCCGCAGGACCCAGGCGTGACGAGGTCCCGCTGCAGCTCTCCAAGGCAGCTCTGCTCTCCATCTGCCTCCAGCCCCTTCCCAAAGGGCTCCAAGGTCTGCGGGATGCCCTCCTTCATCCCCGCTGAAGAGACGACAACCTCACCAGCCGCAGGATGCGCCTCCCTTAGCAGACGGCGCTGTTTGTGCCCTTCCTGTCGTACCTCCTACGAGTTACCCTCTTTTTAATCACTTTTTTAACCAGGGATGGATGTAATGCCTGTACCTCTGGGAACCCCAGCTGCTTTCCCAGCTTTCCTAAATGGTTCCCAGCTGGATGCTCTGCAGCTTTGCTCAGTCCAGAGCCCAACACGCTTCCCACGCTGGCCTGGACAGGGAGCATCCGCAGCCGGTGACACAGGCGACGCTGTGATCCAGCAGTCACACCTGGGCTCTCTGAAACCCGCCTCCTTTTAACATGAATTTGCATGTTTGAGCTCCCTGCAGAAAACCGAGGAAATGGGGACACGGTGTTTATCGCTTTGTAACGCATGACGTTTCCCCAGCACATCTTCTTCCAGCAGTCACACCTGGGCTCTCTGAAACCCGCCTCCTTTTAACATGAACTTGCATTTTTGAGCTCCCTGCAGAAAACCGAGGAAATGGGGACACGGTGTTTATCGCTTTGTAACGCATGACGTTTCCCCAGCACATCTTCTT